TATCACACATTTAATTGAAATTCCACATGCATTTCGAATTTACAATTTGGTCATGTTTATTAAGTTGGGAATAATTATTTAGAAAGGATTTGGTAGGTATTTTATGTAATAGTTTAATAAGCATATTAAAAGTGAATTTGCAATTTCCTCTTCATTGGCATACACTATTACTGTCTCCCTCAACTCTTACCATCCTACTATAATTTCTAAGATGGCAAAAATTGTACTTTTTTTGTACTATATGTGTAGTCATTGTCAAACAGGTTCAAAAAATCTTGGGATTGTATTCATTTCTTTTTTCCAACAAATATTTATACTTTATTACTTTCTCTCTGCCAGATTCTCCTCAAGAGATTCAGTAGCAAACAATGTAGTATAAGATCTTGTCCCTCATGAAATTTGCATTCCATTAATTAATCAGACATTAGTGAGTTGGGCCCTGTGGCTAGTAGAGTCAAACATAAATGAAACCAAAGTTCTACTCTTGTATAGGGATATATTTCCCTGTAATCAATTCTCTCTCTACAGAAATATAGATAGATACATATATGTATATATTTTAGAACAATTTATTATGTGTTCTTATTTGACTCTGAACAGTTATATTGTAGATACGTAAGTTTATTATTTTTGTCCTGCAGAAAGATGAGGATTCTAATCTGCTACTTTATTTCAGCTTAAAGAGAGAAGTATAAGAAAATTTTGTGCAGACTTAATCTGTTTATAGGGAAAAATAGCATGCTTCAGTCTGGGAAAGTCACCAGTATCTCTAAGGCTCCATGAATTGTTTCCCAATGATATGATTACCTTAAGAAACCTGTTGAGTATAATTTAATGTTTATTTTAATTTTATAGGGAAATGGATACTGCAAGAACGCCATTGAGTGAAGCTGAGTTTGAAGAAATCATGAATAGAAATAGGGCAATCTCAAGCAGTGCCATTTCAAGAGCTGTGTCTGACGCCAGTGCTGGTTTGTATATTTCTTTGTGTATTTATATTGTTAACGACCTCAGACTTTTAAGTGCACTTTCGAAGATGAGTTATTTACATACAGTAAGTCATTTTATCTCACAGATCACCATCAGTTTTGTTGCTGGTGGGTCCCCAAGTATGTAGTGTAGACCTTCACAGGTTTTTAAGGCTGTGATCTTTAGGAAGCAGGACACACAGGCTCCTCTGAGTGGGTTTGAACCGCCAACCTTTTGGTTAATAGTCCAGCACTAACCATTTATGCCACCCAACATATTACCTGTAATTTACTTACAAGCCATTAAAGGAAGCTATATAAGTGTCACAGTGTGGTGGAAAGATCCCTAATTTTAAATTATTAGTTGTAGATTTAAGTCTTAGCTCTGGGGCCTTAAGGATGCTCACTCACTTTCATATTTGCAAAAGGTTAATCCCCTTCACATGGCTATCCTAATAACAAAGTAGGTTAATTTCATGCACATGGAAGCCTTTGTCAAAAGGTGAACCACTGAAAAAAATATTATCTTACTCCAAGTGGGTTGGAGGTGTTTTGGAAACAAAATTTGACTTCAGCCTTCCCCTTCCTCCATAGGTGATTATGGGAGTGCTATTGAGACATTGGTAACTGCAATTTCCTTAATTAAACAATCCAAAGTATCTGCTGATGATCGTTGCAAAGTCCTTATTAGCTCTTTGCAAGATTGCCTTCATGGAATTGAGTCCAAGTCTTATGGTTCTGGATCAAGGTAAAACTTTTCTGTCTCATGTATATTTAAAGCTCATAGTTTACAGATGGAAATTTATTATATTTGGGGGACTTTAAAATAGGTTTGATTTTACTGATTGTTTAATCAGCAACCAAAGTGATTTTTTTTAAGTCTAAATCAAATGGCACGTGTTTGCTTAAAATCCGTCTAAGGTTTCCATTTGAGCTTAGAATAAAACTGTAAATATTAGGGCACTGTGTGATAGAGTTCCTGCCTACCTTTTCAGTTTCATCTTATACCCATCTCCTTGCTCACTGTATTCCAACTGTATTGGTCTTTTTCCTTTGACACATCAAGCACTTGACCACTTGACTGATTTTGCACTTGGTATTCTTTCCGCTGGGAACCCTTTTCACTGATTCTCCCCATAGCCGGCTTCTTATCCTTCACGTCTCAGCTCAGTCTAGCTTCTTATTCTTAGGAGGGGATTTCTTCCGTGTTAGTCTATCATATCCCTGTTTATTTCATTCATAGTACTTGCTGTAACCTATTCTTACTCATTATTAAATTCACATTTCTTCCCACTAAAACACGAGTTGAATGATGGTAGGAATCTTACCTATCCTGTTCATTACATTATTTCTAATGCTTAAACAGTGCCCAGTACAGAATAGGCACTAAATAAATTTCTTGAATGAAGGAGTGAATTAATGAATTGTCTATTTCTTGGTAATTTTTCTTACTAGTTTTTTTAGCATGACTGCTAACTAATCTTACAATTTACATACTTTTGGGTGGGGGGGAAATCCTTACTCTTCGCAAGATATTCTAGACTTGTCTTTAGTGTACTTTCAACTGGTGGTATAGCTTTTGTCATTAAAGCAAAGAAACTTGTCATGCTCACCAACTTTACAGCTACTACTTTTGTGACCTGGTCATAGGAACCTTGTGTCTGAACATACTTATCATAGCTAGAGACCATATTTTTTATAATCTTAACTTTTTGAGTCCAAAGGAACAACTCTGATCTTGATCCAAGGAGCTTAGCACCTAAAATATGTTTGCTAAGTCTAGAACTACGAGGTAGAGATATTCTTAAACTAATAGACAATTGTCATTTCCTCATTATTTAGCAGATTTTCTAATCTTTTGATTTAACAGAAGTATTCATGTGCCTCGTCTCTAAATCATAATGTTTGTTTTATCAGTGACTAGATGGGTAGACTTGACTGGATTAATGGAAAGTATATCTTAAAATTTTTAAGTTTTTTAGGCAATATGCTTTGTTTAAATTATCTGTTAAAAATAAAAGCAGCTAATGGAATATTTCTTGTAAAATACAATACAAATAGTATCCTAGTCCTTTTTAGTGGTTATGTTAATTATTAGAATGTATTTTAGTAGAGTTGTACTCTTGACAAACCCTCTTAGTAGTTAGAAATGTAAAATTGATATATATATAGATATAGGTAAAGAGTCTAGTTAAAAGTATTTTTATTCTATTATATGTTCAGTCGTTTGTACATTTTATTTCTGAGAAAAACTACATTCCATCTGATGTACTTTGGCTTGAAAGTACAAGTGCCTGGAAATTTTGTCTCCTGTGCTTTCCTGTTTGTTCATTCAGTAAACATTGCATGTTTTAGATGACTAGTTGAAGTAGGTAATAGGATGTATTACCATGATGTGTCTCATTACAAATTTTTTGATAATTAAAAAAAAATTCCAGTTGATGAGTATTGGTAGTAAATTTTGAAAGAATTTTTTGGTGCCTTAGGTTTTTTAAACACCACAGTACTGAATAACTTTTTAAGCTGTCCAGTTATGGAGAGCATTAATCCAGTAATTTCTTTTAGAAGACGTGAACGATCAAGAGAGAGGGACCATAGTAGATCACGAGAAAAGAGTCGGCGTCATAAATCCCGTAGTAGAGACCGTCATGATGATTACTATAGAGAGAGAAGCAGAGAACGGGAGAGACACCGGGACCGGGACCGCGACCGGGACCGAGAGCGGGACCGAGAGAGGGAGTATCGTCACCGTTAGAGAAGGTGGGTATTCCTTGCTCCTGTTGTATTTAGTGTACATGTTATTAACAGTAATTATAACTCCAAGGCTATTGTTTATACAGTATATACCTACATTTTAAATGATCCATCTGAATTTAATCTTCTGGAAACTTCTGAGAAAAATGGCAGGTAAGTAATGACAGGTAAAGATTTTGACTTTTTACCCTTTTATATTGTATTGTTGAGTTACCACTTTTAGGTTGCAGGTGTTAATAGTCTTAGTAAAGCAAAAACTCATCAAGAGGACTCATTGTGTACTTCTAAATTAAAAAAATTGGGATTCTCTTAATTACAGTTTACATGTGATTTTTAAAACGTGAAATACAGAGTTAGTTTATATACATTGTGCCCTAGGGATTTTAAAAATAAATTTAAAGTTTCTATCCTTTAACCTCATTTGTCCTTGAAACTGCTAACAAAACTCTAGCACAGTAATTTATAGTACAAGTGTATGGTTTCTTATATTGATAGAGCTTTTTTCCTTTAAAAACGGTTTTGAAAAGGTACTATTATCCTAGCATCTGGTTTTTGTTTTTAAAAGGAAAGAAAAATGCAAAAGTTTCTCAGTTAAAATGGGTTTGGAATAGTCTGTGTCCAAAATTCTTAATTTTATCAAATTACACATCCCAAGTTAGAGTAATTTTGAAATAATTTTCCTTTGATGTTTCATTCATAAACCATAATCATTGTGTTTTTTTTCTGTATTTTAAAACAATTTCTCGTGTACATTTTTCATAAAGTGGGGAGTTATCTGTTTAAACTTCATTTTTACGTGTAATTTTATTTTATATTTATGGATAGCATTCATGTGAAAAGTGAGGGGGATGTTTTGTAAGGCTTGTTCATGTGACACAAAGGTTATTCTGTAAACAAAGATATTTTTATTTATATGTTTATGGCCAATCCAAATTAGGTTAGGCTAAAATAACCCCTTATGGTAACTATTTACAAGATTATTTTCCATAATCATGAGAAACTTCTTGAAACTTTAGTCGTGTTAATTGTTAGTATTTTAATTGTCATGGGCAAAATCAAAGGCTGTATCAAGTGTATGTACTTCTGTGACAGTATAGCGGTTTCTTTAACCATAACATTTATTTTAGCAGATGAAATCCTTTGAATATTGCTACCTAGAAAATAAGTATGTAAGTTGTGTTATTTTTCTGAAGCACAAATAAGCTATTCCACGGTTAACAGTTTTAAGGACTTTTTGATATGAATAGGCCATTCTTAGTACTTAACTCTTACATTTAGAATATGTATCTTGAGTATTTGTCAAACTTTAGTTTCTAAATAATTCTCCATGCATTATTCTATAAAATAGAAGTAATTCTCACAACATTCCTTTAATATGAAGCAAAACATCTTTCACTTTAAAGAATGAATGTTGTGTCATGTAAATCTGAACACTATATTTTAAAGGTGTAGCTTTTTTCCCTCCTGAATTGAATAGATCTGATCCTGTCTTATGGAAAAATTAACCAGTGCCTATCAGCTGCTTAAGTTGAACTGTGGCTAGGTTACAACTTGAAAAGCTTAACTATAATGCTTAACTAGTCATTTCATTATTGAAAGGTATAGGTTCTACCCAAGAAAGTTGTGTTTTTATTTAGACTTTGTCAGTTACTAACAAGCTTGTAGTTACCAAAGCATGGTAATTAAACTTGTTTTCACTCATCTACAAATTGGATGAGCCCATCTAGATACCTCTGGACCAGTTTATCCCCAAAGTTAGTTAATGACAGTTTTCTTACAGGTTTTAGTAAAACTGTAACATAGTTAGTCAGGTAAACTCCTTCTGAAAAGTCCAATGTTAATTTTAAATACTTGAATTAACTAACAGTGTAGTCCAGTAATGGGTACACCAAATTATATCATGACTTGAGTTTCATTACATTCAGACATTAACTCTGAATTCCTAACTTGGAAACTGTTGACATTTTTTTCTGAGTCACTGATGTACCATACCAAAATTCACGTATTTTGTTTGTACATTAATCAGAGTTGAGTTGTAATATTGTTTATATGCCTTCATCCAAGCAAAAATTTACATAATAAGCATTTTCAGTGCAAAAAAGATTCTGTTATCCTGGAATATTGTACCTTTGCTATTTTAAACAATATCAATTGTGGATGTAGATGTGAATAAAGAGGTGGGAATGGATCAAATATATACTCAAATGAAAACTATTAAACAAAAAACTACCTACAAATTTTATCACATTCATACTAAGGTCTATTGTTGACCTCTTTAGAAGTTTTAAAATATGAGTCCTTTTGAGCTTTCATGTATATATTAAATGGACTAAGTGAAATGAAATGAAAGTAACTTGAAAGCTAGAGTGAATGTCAGTTTTAAATCTGTATATTAATAAAACAATAATGTAACCTTACCATTAAAATGATGAATAACCAAAAGGGCAAGTTTTTAATTTAACTTGAAATTCAGTGATGTTGGCAAGCTGTTAATGTCTGTCCCATTTTAATTTTTGTGTGTGTGTTTGAATTGTTGGTAATGTTAAGTGCATTCTCTCACTTTAAAAAAATGTATTTTTCTAAAAGCATTCAGTATCTAAGTTCAAATAGATAATATTTTCATGGGAAAATATCAATATTGTAAATTTCAACTTGTAAATACATTGTACTTCATATTTTGTAATTTCTGCCTCTATTCTCAGACCACTCTGAGCAAAATAAAAGTAGTTCAGTGCTTTCATATATTGTACACTTCTTACAGAAATTATTTTACTTTTATAGTTTTTTCTTTCAGCTTGCTCTCCTCTTGTTACTTTGTTTGAAATAACTCTACTTCAAATTTCAATTAATAGTTCAGCTTTTGCTTTGTGTACTATAAAGCAATGAAAGCAAATTATTTTTTTAAAATGCTCTTTATTCATATTCTTCATCTTCCTTATGTCTGAAGTCTTACATATTCTCAAATCATTATCCATTTCTTTGGTAAAATTTTAAAATATTTTGTATGGGGATCTGGATTGAATAACTCTGCTTTGCTGTGTGACTATTGTCTTCCTTCTACCATACATGATGTTAAATTTCGTTAAATACACAAGACTTAGAATGATTTGCATTTTCATTCCACCACAGTACTGTTTATACAGCTTTGTATTAATTGGGGGTAGGGGTGGGGCAAATAAAAACCAAAAGAAACATCTCAGTTGTTCTTCTTTCTTACATATTTAGATGTTTCATCATAGAAGTTGGTATTGCTTTAAAGCTTATGTGAAAATGAAATTCTCTTAATTAACCTGATGAATGATAATGGTTGTTAATAAGATTAAAAATTATTTCTGCAACTCTTAGGTCATCTCAGACCTGCCTAATATTTCCCAGCCCTATGTTTTCTAATGTATCCTTAACTGTTTTACTTCATCTGGTTATGCTAGCTCTTCTAGCTTTCTTTGCTTTTAGTATTATTTGCAAAACCTGTCTCTGTACACAGCTGTGTAACTGATGTGATAAGAGGGTAGGAAGTGATGCCTTGTGGTGGATGCATAGTGTTTTGCTCACTGTGGTTTAAGAATATAATTTTCTTTAAAAATGGTTAATGTTCCCTGTTTAAAAAAATCTCAGTGCCAGTGTGGATCACCTTGCTCTCTCACCTTCATCTCAGTGTGAAATCTGCTGCCATTGTTATAGTTTGTAAATTAGATTGTTATGAATAAGTATTTGGTTAGCATTGCTTAAAGGGAATTTAATAACCAAAAAAGGTTAGGGTACCATATATGCTATCTAGCTTTACTAACATACCTTTTTATAGTAGCATGTTTTAACTCTTTCAGTGAATTCTAAACAGCACAACCAGCCTATTTTGAAATTCTATTTTGTCAATCTTTTGGGGCAAAACTAAGTTTTCTTAGACTATGGTGAAGTTTGTTTCTGTTATGTAGTGGACTGCATAGAACAGCAGTCTTGTTATGTTGGTGGTGGTGGTGGTATGTGCCATCAAGTCGGACCCGACTCATAGCAACCCCTCCTTGGGTTTCCGAGGCAGTATCACTACGGAAGTAGATTGCCCCATCTTCCTTCCGAGGAGTGTCTGGTGGGTTTGAACCTCCAGCCTTTCTGGTTAGTAGTCAGGTGCTTTAGGCACTGTGCTACCAGAGCTCCCATACATTATAGTGTAGTAAATGCGGTAAGTACTATACCTGGAAGTAAAAAGATGAAAATGTTAAATGTTTTGGTAGTAAGGGACTTTTTGTAAACATCTACAATAAACAGCATTGTTGTGAGATATGCTTTAGTCAGTGCAAGAAGAAATTGACTTACCTTGTTTGTGTTTAGTACTTCTCTTTCTTTTGCCCATCTTCCATCTCCATTTCTCAATTTATTAAGTTATGAAGAAATTTTCAGATGGGGAAAAAAATTTTTATTTGGTTGACTTAAAGTGTACATCTCATTAGAATATTTTAATTCTGTATATTAATATAGAAACCTATAAGCCATTTCAAATATATGTGAATTTTTTACTTGAAAGATGAACTTGACCATGAGTTTAGAAATACTGATGCTAGTTCCTAATTATATGAGAAACACATAATTTGAGTTGTTAATATTGGCTTGATTTTGCATTACCTCAAAACAGAGGTGTTTCCCTGTGTATTGAAATTTTACTTAGTCCTCACTTCAGTTTATAGACTTCATCTAAGCCCTGTAGATTCCATTTGTTGTCTTAGTTGGTTTTACAACTGTTTATGCAAGTCTTCCTCATAACTGAGAGCAAAAGCAAGTATGTATGTGTATGGCTTCACAGCACAGATTTGACCAAATGATACTCTAAAAGCATGGGCATTGAATGTATGTTACTTTTAAACTTCTTTCTGATGTCTTTGTTTTTGTAGATGTCTACTTAGATATTTGAAATTTTATTATGGAATTTGATTTTTGGAAATGGGTTGTAATGCCTTCAAATTTGCTTCCGTTTGAGATTGTAAAAAATGTATTTCCAAGTGGATAAAT